CTCACGATTGATTAGTTTGATTCGAATCCTGCCGAGTGTTGATTGATTTACCTATGAATCTGTGATGCATCTTCAAAGTCATGGTGTTGAGCTTCACCACGACCAAGCGGCCAGGGCACACTATTTCTAATCAATTTGCGTCTATCAAAGTATAATCTAGATCTTTGGTTGTAGAAAAACTTGAAACACATTTGACCTATGTACACTAACACAGGAGTAACATTTTGCCCTTATCTGCATTTGGTCAGGCTAATCTTCGGACTACCATTGAACATTTCATTTCTACAATCACTCTACTAGTGGAACTTCTGCATCTTTCTAATGGCTCTGGTAGCCTGGTCCAAATATGAATGCTGATGTTTCTTCTACAGGGGTCATGCTTCTGCTAATTTTTTTCATATGCATATATGACTTTGGCTAGGTAATATTTATGATCTCAATCGTGTATCATTTTGTACTGAAATTAGAAATTTCCTCTGTACAGGTAGAGTCTTCTAGTTGAAAAAGTTTTTTGACTGTAACCCTCTCCTTCCTATATTAACATTTTCTGTTTGACAATATATGTGAAGTTGTCAGGAGGGACAAGTAGCGGTTCAGATACCTAAGGTGTGGACTTTAAACAATGTAAATAGTTCCTCTTACATTGATTCATTATTGTGATTGTTTATTAGATTTGATAATTGTTGTACAATCTGCAGTGGCTAGAAAGCAAAGTACTGGTCTTTTGGAAAAAGAGCTTGCTGCTACTACTACCAACAAGATCTGTCAAAGGAACAATGCAGATTTGTGCTGAGCTGCTACAACTAACAGGACACTGCTGCTAACGAACTGACAAAAACAACTCTCTTACTTATCCTAATCTTATTAGGTGTTGACTCCACGCTGATAATGAGAATTACTATATCAATGTCTGCTTAGATATTAACATTACTGTTTAGTTCTAGTATAATCATATGTCATGCAAAAGAAGTGCTTACTTCAGAAACAAATTTTTCACGCCCTATGTCATGCCTTGTCAGCTTCCTTTCACGCATAAGTTTCTTTTCTACAACAACCTGATATAAATGAGAACATATGTCAAAACGAAGTACAAAAAATTGAAGTACTCTGTTGTCCAAACAAGAAGTCTGAACTACAAATGCTAAGTTAAAACATATACAAGTTGAAATGAGCAAAAATACAGTATTAATTTGCTCAAGGGAATATAAGCGACAAAACTGCTATGGACTATGCAATTAATGAATGAGCAATTGCTAAACAGTAAATTCCAAATCCAAAAGTAGGAAATGTGATTCAAAACATTATTTTAAAAGTTTCACTAAAAATACAGAAAAGGGGTTTATTGACATGTCCCAACAACCTTGTTGAGGATTTCTTAATGGCAGTACATTGTTAATTATCACTGACAGAATGGGTCGATACATGTTTGTTCCAAGAACTTGAATGACAAATTCTATCGCCTGATACCATTATGTTTCATCATATAAACAGCATCTGATAGTAAACAAATTCCTAAATGCATACCTGTGTAGCAATGCCAGCATGGTCCACTCCAGGGACCCATAGGGCATTGTAGCCTGACATCCTACGCCAGCGTATCATAGCATCCTGCACTGGTTACAAAACCATTGTATAGTCAATGCCTATACCATTAACATGACATAACGATCACTGTACCAAAAAAGAAAAAAACACCACCTCTATAGCCACTGTAAGTGCATGGCCAATGTGAAGAGCTCCAGTCACATTTGGAGGTGGCAGAACCTGAAAAGAAATAACTCAACTCTTTGTTGGAAGCTAACCAATGTTTGACAATATATAAAAGAACTACAGTGATGTCAAAAGATGCAGTATGCTAAATCAGCTTCTAGCTTATCTTGCACAACTGTTCAAGAGCATGAATCACTTACTATAACAAATGGTGGTTTTGTGCTTGCAGGATCTGCCCCAAAATATCCTGATGATTCCCACCAGGCATACCATCTGCATAAAATAAAAGAAATCATGCAGTTGAGCCAGACATTTCCAATGCTAGGAATTATAAAAAGAGGCGTGCACTCTAAGCAGAGAGCTCCCCGCTCTGCAAGGGTCCTGGGAAGGGTGTCGATGGCAAGCCTTACCTCGCCTGTGCAATGCGAGGAGACCGCGACTCGAACCCGGGACCTTCCGGTCACAGGGGGTAAGACTCTACAATGCTAGGAATTATAAAATTCAACAAAATGCAAAGAACTAATCAAGCATCTTACGATCTCTCAACTGCACTTGGACTGTATTGCTTGGCCATCTGAGGTGCGAGCAATTTCTTCCGCCCATTAGGAGTTTCTGGGTCTATGAAATCCTGTGGATTTTCATCCTCCACAGCTTTCTTCCTTTGTTTTTTCTCAGTCTTCTTTGTTCCGTCTGAGGTTGCTTGTGCCTAAGTCATATCCAGCAAGCATTTCATTTACCAGACATCTGGATCATCTCCTCAGTCATAAACAGAATAGAATACTATATTCAAACCTGGAGCCTAGCCGCCTCCTTTTGTTTTGCCTTAAGTTTTTTCTCTTCTTTCTCTTTTGCCTGAGAGCATAACATTTAACCCATAAATAAATGATTATAACATACATGATAACAAAACAGCCTGATCTCAATTCAGATAATTTCTGACTTTGCGAAGTTACTGTTAAGTATGATCTAGCTACCCCTACCGTTTGCAGGCCATCCAACCACCAATTAACCCGTTTGAGCCAAGTCAAAAGAATATATCTGGGAAATTAGTACAGAGAGCAATGCAAGACAAAATTTGATTGATACCTTTTGATCTTTTTTCAGCTTCCTTTCTAACTCTTTCTCATCAAGTTGCTGCATGAATAAAAAATGAGTGAATAGAATATCTAACTTGAACAAAAAGTAAATGCAGTTCAGACTGCACAAAGGTGCCAAGTACTCCCGGGGGACCTTTTTCCGTGAGACAAGGTGAGAAAAATGAGTACACGAACCTTCTCCTCAGCAACCTTCTCCGCCCCCTGCGCATCAGGTTGCTGCACAAAACCACACTCAAATCAGTCCCACAAAGGCACAAACATAGAGATGGGATCCCCACGAGAAGCAGCAGCGGATGGACGGGTTGCTCGATCGGCGCCCCCTTTCTTACTTTGTCCATGCTTGAGATCAAGCCGGCGGATTGGCTCTTCTCTGCGCCGCTGCCGCCGGCAGCAGGAAGGGTGGAATACGGACAGTGGAATACGGAAGGGTTTAGGGTTTAGGCGTGTGCGGGCGGAGGTCGCCGGTGGGGGAGGGGGAGCGGCGGCCGGCGGGCGCGTGCGTGTGCGGACGGCGGCGGGCGCGACTAGAGGAGACTCAGAGGGAGAGAGAGATGCGGGAGAGCAACCAGCGGCGGCGGCGGCGGATATGCGGCCATGCGGGAGAGACCGAGCAAGGGATAGGTGTCGGGGACTTGGGCTTTGAGCTGTTTGATGGGCTTTTTTCTTTAATGAAGCTAAACTGGGCTTGCTGTGATGTACTGCTGTCCTCTGCTATTATCTGACTCTCCATCGTCCATGATAAGAAGTTGTTTTTCTGCGGACGTGGACTGACTAATCATGATTAGTCTCCTGATCGGTCCCATGATGATTAGGTTCGATTGGACAACTTGAAAACATTGTGCATACATGAAAGAGCGAGCTGGGCTGTTAAAAGGAAGAAGTTAGGGAGATTGTAAAGGGCACAAAAGAACTACCAAAAATATTGGATCTTATAGTCACACTGCAACGGCTTGGACTAGATAACCACTATGAGGTCGAGATTGATGAGCACCTGCGCATTGTTTACAATTCTAGTTATGACGTTAAAGATCTCAATTTGGTTTCACTGCGATTTTATCTTCTCAGGAAGAATGGCTATGATGTGTCATCTGGTAAGGCCTTACTGTTGGTATAAAAAATAGTTTGAAAGGAAATAATATAATCCAAAATAAAACCACATATACGTGCATTAAAAGGCATAATGACTGTTAATCATACTATTTATCTTACTTCATTGCATTTTGATACCCATAATTCACTGATGACTTCAGCAGTTCCTTTTTTGTGGGGATTAGTACGACAAGATAATTGGTTTTGTTCTCAATGTGTAGATCTCCATTAATATGCATATGTACAGACACATCATAGTTGATATGGTTAGCTAGTAGTATGCACTGATCCTGGCATATATAACATAAGACATGCAACAAATATTGATTGTCATTGATATGTTGGGTCCATGTGTACACTTTTGGATGTGAAACAATTAACATGACATATTTGATCAACTTTGCAGATGTATTTCTAAATTTTAAAGACAAGGAAGGAAATTTTGCTTCTGATGATGTCAGAAGTCTTTTGAGTCGCGTGCCCTTAAACCCAGCTTGATCCGCTTCTTTTTTCATCCGGAACAGTGTTTTTCTTTCACAAATTCCTCCAGTATTCCTCCAAACCATCCAAATTTCTCCAGAATTCCTCCAAGCGAACAGGCTCAATGCAGCATACCTTACAACTCATGGCGAGGAAGTACTTGATGAAGCCATTATATTCACTAGAAGACACCTCGAAGCCGCATTGACCTCGTTAGAATCCAAAATAGAAGATGAAGTCTCTCTGACCCTTCAAACGCTGCTCTTCCGGAGGGTTAAAATACTGGAAACAAGGAACTATATCCCTAATTACGAAATGGAGCCCTCACGGAATGAAGCCATGTTAGAGTTTGCAAAACTGAACTTCAACCTCTTCAAATTCTTTATTATGAGGAATTGAAAACAGTCACAGCGTAAGCTAGTTCAGACTTTGAATTTTAATGTCCTATTAATCAGTCAATTATACATCAGATATTTACAATTATACCATTACAGGTGGTGGAAGCAGCTTAATGTTGAAACAGATTTAAGTTTTATTCGAGACAGAATAGTTGAAATGCATTTCTGGATGGCAGGGGCATGCTCTGAGCTCAAATATTCTCTTTCACGAGTTATACTAACGAAAATGACAGCCTTTATCACCATACTAGACGATATAATTGCTACCTACAGTACAACAGAGGAGGGCAAGCTGCTTGCCAAAGCGATAGACAGGTACAACTGAATGTTTCCCTAGCAATCTAGTAATCCATATTGAGAATGTAGTTTTTATCTTCTCCATTTCCACTGCAACGTACATTTGTAGTTGCCATCTTTTGTATATGTTAAACATCTGTCATGGACATTGTCAGCATACAGCATCTAACACAGCATGGGCTCCACCATGGTTACTGTAGCATAAGACAGCAGTGGATTAGGTGGCCTAATTTCTATTAGGTCAGTCAGGAAGTCATATTTAATAATTGGCCTAACTTAGGATCTTTTCTCTTATATTATTTTATTTATATTGGATTGTTATGATTGTAGACACAATAGAATGACTTCAAATGTTCCCAATGTATTGTAAAATGCAGGTGCAGTCAAGACGTGACTGAAGTACTTCCAGACTACATGAAGGACTTCTACCAGTTTTTATTGAAGACATTTGATTCTTGTGAGGACGAGCTAGGACCAGACAAAAAATATCGGGTTTTTTATCTCAAAGATCAAAGAAATGGCAAGTATTGACTAGACAACAAGTTACTTAGCAAATACATGCATTTAGTTGAATATCCACAATTACTTCAACCTTTAAGCTTATCATTCAGATTTCTATGATCAAAATTCTGTTAAGTAAAGTAAAGAACCCCCCCAGTATTGTGCATGGAGAATTCGAAACTTATGTTGACAGGCATGCACAAGCACAACAACATGAACTGAAAATCTTCATTGCAAAACTTTCTCTAAGAAATCGCTATGGCTTTGCACTGATATTACTATGTAATATGTTCTGCAAATTTATATGTTGCAGTTGAAGATATTGGGTCCGAGGATACTCTCAGGAGATAGAATGGCGTGATGAACATTATGTTCCTGAAACAATTGACAAACATCTAGAAATTTCAAGAGTGATTGTTGGTGCTTTTCAACTGGCATGTTCTTCATTTGTTGGGATGGGTAACATCATAACAAAGGAAGTTCTCGGTTGGCTTTTGACATATCCAGAACTTCTCAAGTGTTTCACAACGTTTGTACGACTATCCAATGATATTACATCAACAGAGGTCTTTCTCTATCTTGACACATCTTTATGTATATTTTACACCTTACAGTACCAACAAATATAATCTTGTAACCAAATTTCACATGATATAAGTAGATAATTTAGTAAGTATTGGTTTAACAGTACCAAACTAATGAAACACATGATCGCAAAGCTTTTTTTTTAACGCAAACATGATCGAAAAGCTCACTTAGTCAGTGTACTTATTTTTTCACTATAAAATGTTGCAGCGCGAGCAAACTGGAGGGCATCATGCTTCTACTGTCCAATGTTATATGTTGCAGCATAGCACAACAATGCATGGTGCATGTGAGAAGATAAAGGATTAATTGAAGATTCATGGAAGGATATGATGCAACTCTACCTTACACCAATAAAATAGCCAAAGGTTGTGGCACAGACAGTTGTTGACTTTGCAAGGACCGGGGATTACATGTACAAGAAAACTGATGCATTCACCTTATACCATACGATCAAAGATATGACAGCATTACTGTATGTGGAGCCAAATATTGTTCTAAACTGCAGAGATCAGACAAGACCCATGTACCAGCTATCATACTTCAAAATATAGTGTTTGATTACTTTCATCAGTATAGAATAAAGTGGTGACTGCTAGACTTGTCTTCAGACATCTTGGCAGTTAAGGTAGTGTAAAAAATGTTGTAATGGGTAAAGTACAAAACACTATCATCAGCTCATTACATTAAATGTATTGTGTTATCCTCCCAAGTAATATCTGTATCTTTTTTCTTTTTCCATACATTGCTCTGTTTCAATCTCTCTAAAGTACTGGTAATGCAAAAAAAAAACATGACAATGCTAGGTATGGTAAAATGATTTTTATGTGCAAGTGTTCATTATAACATTTTTCTGTATATGATCCTCATGAGTTCCAATAAGGATGTTCATTCATTTGTTTAGGCAACAATAATAATGTAATTGGCCTATTTGACGTTAAATGGGAACATACGTAACTCCCATAGTCTCATATGAATTGTTGGGGTCAGGAAATAGAATCTAATGGGTGCAAATACAAGACATAATCGATACCAAAGGTGTGTTATTTAGGAACGTTTACAAGTGGAGGTAGTGCAATGTGCCCATCATACTGATCTGGTTCAAGAAAGGGTGCATCATTTCTTCAAGTGTGAGTTCAGTAAGGATTGCTCAAATCAAATTCACATAACTGGAACACATCTGTGCAGGTTTTTAGCTGGCATATCTAGACACAAATAACTGTATGTGAGATTAAAAGCTAGATTTCCTTGCCAAGTGGTTGACTCTCTGACAAGCTGATGAATCTGCTAACTATGGAAGAAAGGGAGAATTTAGTTGGTCACGGTAATTTTTATTTATTAGGAATTGTTCTGGTCAACTAAATCATTCCATACACTTTTGAAACTAAAATAATATTATTTCGATATATTTCCACACAAATTCTCAGTCTCCTACTATTGTCCTCATTCCTAAACAATAGTTCTACGAAGGTGGGATCATGGGCCTGATTGGTTTGCGGCAAAAAATTGTCATGCCAAGGATTTGGCAAGACATGATTTTAGCTATTGTTTGGTTTGTTACCAAAACTTGTTAACCTCTCACATTTGGCTTGACAAATCCATGATAAATTTTTTACCTAACTTTGGCTTGCTAAATTCATGGCATGGCAAATTTTGGTTGCAAACCAATCAGGCTACATGTTCACCACACTCGAATTCTGTCGATGCTTCCAAATCACTGTAAGCAGATCTGTAGGGTTGTTCGAATCACAAAGAAAACAAGACAACAGAACCAATGCCCACAAAGTAAGTTGATTTCGTTTCATTACCTCACTGGCAATGGACAATCCTTGTGTGCGTGTTGCATCGAGGAGCCATTTTGTCGAGCACATCACGGGCTACTTAGTGGAGCTCAAGACCGTGCCTGTTGGAGCCATCGTTCGTGCGCATCCACCGCCGCTCGATCCCGTGCCTCCACTTCCGCATTCAAACCAACCACTCGCTCACCGGGCGCAATCCTTCGACAACAATAATAACACATCGATCGCCTCAGGGTGCCTCCCGCCTCCCTCTCGTAAGGCGTAGGGCACTCTGTTCTTCTCGGAGGGCTACTAGCCAAGGTTAGCCTCTCCTAAAAAACCTAATGCACATGGTCTTTTTTTTTTTTTGGTTGAGGAAAGCCCAAGAATCCTAGAGGCCCATGCCCGTGTCCAGCCTCTTTGGCCCAGCGGTCGAGCCTCCTCGCCTGCCCGTGTCAAGGCCGCCAAGGGCTGAGCAGGTGGGTCGCTACGCGGTCACCACTGTGTCAAGCCCGTTAAGGCAGCAGAGGAGCAGCGCCTGCTTTGAGCCACGCAGCGTCGAGGCCGCCTCGAGCCCCCACCACCGCCGCCTGCAAGCCGAGGAGCGGGCGCCACTGGCCACGCCAATGGGGTAGCAGCACCAATGCCTCTCGGTCGTCTTGTTGATACGCCGCACGGGCGAGCTTCTAACATTTATCACTACCACAGAATATATTTTACAAAATTAAATCGCCTATCTAGTTGATGCCTAATATTAGGCCGTGTTTGGCTCGGCTCTCCGGGGCTCCGGCTCCTCATGCAGCGACTGTGCAACCCTGTAGAGTACTGTAGCGGCTAAAAAAACAGCCCCGGCTCTTATATAAATGAACATGGATTGGGAAGATGCTGCCGGAGCTATGTTTGTGATGCTCTGCCGGCTCCACCACAGTACCCACACAGTGGCAGAGCCGGAGCCGGAGCCGGCGCGAGCTCCATCAAACGCGCCCTAAGATTGTACAAGTGGGTGGGTTTATGGCATCTTCATTGGCAAGGTTAGCTCCCAGGGGCTCAGTGTACTCGCCCCGCTAGAACTTATCAGCCTACAGCCTGTTCATTTGGCTGTGGCTTGTCGTAAACAATCGTAAATTTTCAGCCGAAACAGTATTTTTCTCTCACACAAACCAGCCAGCAGTACTTCTTCACGAACCAGCAACGATATGAACCAGCCAACCGAACAGGCTGCTAGATTATCAACCATAAAATAATATTGTTCTCTCACCACAAATCAGATTTAGCCAATTTATTTGCCGTAAAAACCATCAGATCCTCCTAGTACTCCTCTGGTGATGTCATAATGAATAATGGATTCGCACTAAGCGATTGCTATAGACACCACACATAAAAGTGAATGGAGATCACTTGGTTAGGTTCTTTGTGGTGGAACCTGTCCACACGGGTTCAAGTCCTTCGACTTGGCACGGGTGCTCGTATTTTTCTGGATTTAACGACGCTATGCTTTCAGTGGTAGGCGACGTCCCCGTCGACAGCGAGGCACCAATGGTGACTTCGTGAATCTCGAGATCTGCCGGCCCAGTCCTTCGAAGGTGCTCATAGGGGTAGGGTTTATGTACGTGTGTCCATAGAGGTGAGTGTGTATGCATACGTACGTGTGTTCATAGAGTTGAGTGTGCATGTATACGTACGTGTGTTCATAGGAGTGAGTGTGCGTGCGTCCTGTGGGTGTCTGCGTTGTACTGTATAATTTAAAAAAAAGAATGACAGCAAGAATAGAAGACCCAAATGCACTGGAACATGGCTCCTTCACACAGTGCTCTTTTTTTTTTGGAAAATTTTGGTAAAAGAATCATATTTTTTAGAGTTCATATGCATAATTATGATTTTTAAAAATTAATGACATTTTTTTTATATTTTAAGAAAATACATTAATTCTGGCTAATGCCAGAGAGCGCCATGTGGTAGAACCAGGAGACGCCACATGTCTCCGATTTGGCAGGGACCAATAAGTGTGTGCCTGGTCAACATCAGCACTGACCGGTCAAACAACGATCAACGCTGATCGAGCCTGAGTGGGCTACCATGGGCCGAGTGGGATGACGACGGGTGTGCGCTGAGCTCGAGAAGACCGGCGTCATCGGTGACAACGGTGTGGGCATCCCCATCCTCACCGGCGAGACCGGCGTGGGCAAGACAACCGCCGTGGAGGGCCTCGTGCAACGCATCGTGCGCGGAACCGTCGACCGTCGTGATGCTGGCGCCGGCAGTGGCAGGGTGATGGCCACCCGTGCTCTGGTCAGAGGTTGCCCCCGCTGAATGCCGTGACAATGGAGGGGAGGCCATGCTGTTCCGTTAGCTGGAAGCTGTCGCGTAGATGCCTGCAAGGCTGGTGCTCAGTGCTCACCGTAGCGTTGTTGATGGTGCGGGCAGTTGCGGTCGTGGCCACTGCAGACACGCCCAGAAGGGGGATATGGGCCGGGCGCCGGGGCAGGGGTGTAGGTTTAGGAGACCGTGGTTTAAGGTGCTCTATGCATATTCCACCGTCACAGTGGTAACGCCACGTCAGATAAAATGCTCATGTGGCTGTTATGGGCATGCGGTGCACCATTTTATAAGTTTAGGGATCTAGAAATGCATTTTCGAAGTTCGTGGACCAAAGTGGTACCTCTTGACAAGTTCAAGGGCCGATCATGCATTTAACTCAATTTCTAATTGGAGATAGAGTGAAATATGCATTTTTAAGTTATAAACAACAAAGATTGAAATGTTTTTTGAAGTCATGTTGATGATACACAACAAATATAATTGTGATAACAAACACCTGCTCGCAAAAGCATTCGTAACACATCTTTCATTGTATCTTATATTTTCTTACCACCCAGTAATTGTTACAAAGATTGAAAACAGAGCAACATATGAAACAGACAGATAATATTGCTTGAGCAGGTACACAATACATTTAATGAGCTGATGACACATTTCTAACTTTAACCTTTCCAACATTTCTTATTGTATCCTAAATAGCTGACTTCTATAACCTGGTGAAAACAAGTCCGGTGGTCATCACTTTATTCAATATAACTGAAAGTGATTAGAGATTTTAAATGGAGTATAATAGCAATGAAACAGGGGCTTTCACTCTTTGGTGCCTAGAATAATAATATTGGCTCCACAAAGAGTTTTGCTATCATATCTTTGATTGTGTGGGAAAAAGTGAATGCATCTGTTTCCTTGTACATGTAGTCCGCTGTCCTTGCAAAATCAACGACTGTTTGTGCGATGAGTTTTGGTTGTTCTGTTGATGTAAGGTAGAGTTCCATCATATCCTTCCATGTGTCTTCAGTTAACTCTTTTATCTTCTCACATGCATCATCCATTGTTGTCCCATGCTTCAACATATAACATTGGACCGTAGAAGCATGGTGCCCCACATTTTGCTCACGCTGCAACAGAAAAGATCAATATATTCAACGAGGGTGTTCTGCAATTATATGCCTCTCATTAATGAGATACATTCACTACTACAAATAATGATTTTTTATTTGTATCATGTGCAGTAGTTTGGTTACAGCATTATATATTTGGGCTGAAGTTAAATTTACTAAGTTAATATATAGGTGCAAAAATTCACAAAACAAAAGGCACCTGCACATTTTTAAATAGAAGGAAATACCTTTGTTGATGCAATATCATTCGACAGTCGTGCAATAGTCGTGAGAGACTTGAGAAGTTCTGGATATGCCAAAAGCCACTCAAGAATTTCCTTTGTTATGTTGTCACCCATCCCAACAAATGAAGAACATGCTACTTGAAAGGCTCCCACAGATAGTCCTGAATGTTCTAAGTGTTCATTGATTGTTTCTGGAATGTAATTTTCATTACGCCATTTGATCTCTTGAGAGCTTCCTCGGACCAACACCTTTAACTGCATGCAACATACAGATAAGTGAATTCATATTTTATCTTCACATAATTGACTACTTGTTAAGTCATGCGGATTCCATGAAGATAGTAGTGTGTACTTAATATATATCTAAAATTCATGCTTCTTTGCATGTAAGATAAGTTTTGAATTCTTCCAGTACAACATGTGTCACTACTACATAAATGGTATTTCTCTACGGTACTTTCACCTCCAGTTTTAATAAAACCAGTTGTGGTAAGTATCACTTCCGGTTTGTGTTACGAACCAGCGGTGATGGGATTGTCACTGTTGGTTTGTGGTACCAACCTTTGGTGAAAATAAGTCTCATCATCGTTGTCGGTTCGTGTTACTAACCGGTGGTGATTAGGGGGTTAAGAACCAGTTGTGATGACATTTTTGTAGTAGTGTGTGATATATTGAAACAATATTTTCAAGGAAAATAAGCAGAGATGTGCACGTTTCACTGGATTAGTGGTCATACTAGAAATCGAGTTCGACACTATTACATATAAGAGATGAGGTATGGCCGTATGCATGGGTGCCAACAATGATGAAAAGCTTGGTCAACATGTTTCGATATGGTTTGGACAACCAATATAGGCCTCCAGATGCATCGTATCATTGTGTAGAGGAATCCTAAGGAACTACGGGATACAGTCGTTTCGCCAAGTGCTATGGGCACTCGGCAATGACCCAAAAATACTCGGCAACTGCTTTGCCGAGTGTAATACTCGGCATACAACACACGGCATCTTTTTGTCGGCAAACAGCTATTTGTCGAGTGCTTTTTGTCGGGCACTCGGCAAAGCCTTTGCCGAGTGTTGAAAAAGCACTCGGCAAAGATTTACACTCGGCAGAATGAAAATGCGAAAAAACCCCAAAAATAATAGCAATTTTTTTTCCGGGGGAGGCCAGCGCCCGCCCGTCTTCATCGAAGTCGGTGCATTTTTTGCGCTAAGTTCGCGGCTAACGCGGCCGGCGGGATTCGAACTCACGACCTCTCCCTCGCGTGTCTGCTGCTCTACCACTGCACTACACTGTCACTTGTGTCTAGATTCCGTTATCTATCCTCATATATTATACTAAAGCGAGAGTAAATTGCTTGTTTGAGGCCCTAAACGAATTCAAATCAAAAAGTGGTCAACTACAAAGTTTCATAAATTTTCGAGATCTACAATTTTCATTTAGGAAGTTTTTCCATCCGAGGTTGTTTGAAAAATTCGAATTTCAAATTTGAGAGATTCAAACGTAGTTTTGCATGATAAGATGATTTCAAATCAAAAAGTTGTCAACTACATAGTTTCATAACTTTTGGAGATCTACAATTTTCATTTAGGAAGTTTTTCCATCTGAGGTCTTTTGAAAAATTCAAATTTTAAAATTTTCAAATTCAAACGTCGTTTTTGCATGATAAGATGATTTCAAATCAAATTGTTGCCAACTACAAAATTTCATAACTTCTCAAGATCTACAAAGTTTATTTTGATCATTTATTCATCCGACATAGTGGTAGTAACATTGTTCACATATCTTATATATCTCTCTTCTACTCTCATTAAACTAATATGAGAGGATATGAGAGATGTAGATTTTATGAACAACGTTAATGTCGCTTTGTCAAATGAAGAAATGATCAAAATAAACTTTGTAGATCTTGAGAAGTTATACAACTTTGTAGTTGAAAAGTTTTTCATTTGAATTTATTTAGGGCCTCAAAAATTGTTGAAAAACTAATTTGCCGAGGGAAAAAAATGCACACGCCAAAATGCCTCTTTGCCGAGTGCCAAAACAAATGCACTCGGCAAAATACATCTTTGCCAAGTGCCAGAAAAAAGGCACTCGGCAAAGACGCATTTTGCCGTGTGCCAAAAAATAGCACTCGGCAAAATACATCTTTGCCGAGTGCCAGAAAAAAGGCACTCGGCAAAGACGCATTTTGTCGAGTGTTTTTTTTGCCGAGTGTATTTTATTTGGCACTCGGCAAAGACCGTCTTTGCCGAGTGCCTGATAAAATACACTCGGTAAAGCCTCCGGCACTCGGCAAAGTGCCGGTTTCCAGTAGTGAGGTTTGTTGATAGTCTAAAGAACAGGCAATGGCGTACTGTACCAATCTGGACATGGGATCGGAAGAGGAAAATAAAAGAGATGCCTGAGAGATGGGATACCTAAAGAACTGTCTTTGGATAAGAGTATGTATGTGGAAATTAAAATCACAGTGTGTGAACCATGACATAGGCTACTAGTTCCCCTTTAACTACTATAAAGTGCATGCGTGCATTTGCTCTCTATAACTAGCAATTAAGAACAAGCACAAGACTTGCCACTTCTTGGAGATAAAATGTCCGGAAGCTTCTGTTTGGTCCTAGTTCATCCTCACATGATTCAATTGTCTTCAATAAGTACAGATAGAAATCCTTCATGTATTCTGGAAGTAGTTCGGCAGCATTCTCTTCCCATCTGCATTTTACAATCCATTGAAACCATAAGAGAATCAGAATAGCTGCAGTGCATCTCCATGCAAAGTTTTGAATCAAAATTCACTATACTTGGTTGTGAATTCAGTATCTATTCATGAATAATGGATATTATCCATGGGACGTGAATAGCTGAAACATCAAGGACTCGATCGCATATATGTGTGGGCATGATCTGGTAATTGTGCGTATGGTTGAACTAGGGAGGATGGGAAGGATCCAATTATAAAAGCTAGGTGGAAGAGATTTTAGGCTTTATTGTTAACTATTGAACTTCAGAACAAACATCCTCTGTAGCCATATCTATGTTCCCAATTTTTTCACCGTTTAGGATAGAAGCTCACTGTTTTGACTCAAGTCGCTGTTTTGTGACCGTGATGCCATCTCTGCTGGTGAGGTGGATCACGACACGAGGGCTAGGCACTTCTGGGAGAAGGTGAATGTGCAGCCGGACAAGATTGGCGGTGGTAGGTTTAGGGATTTGGTAGAGGAAGGAGAAGGATCAAAGATCGCAGTCGCATGATGCCATGTAGAAAAATAGAAAGATAGGGGAAATACATCACAACCTCAAAGGATGGTGATCTTTCATTTATATAGTCAAATGTAGCTTGATGTATAAGAATGCAACATGTACGACACATATATAATGCAAAAGGCTATACATACTACACAAATAAACTAATTACATTTATATGGAAACTAAAACTACCTCTCAAAATCAAAGTATTTTTTGGTATTTGTATAAGGGAGTAGTATTAACAAAGAACAATTTAGCAAGGCGGCAGTGGCAAGGGGATAGAAAGTGTTGTTTCTGTTCTTCTGACGAGTCTATACAACATCTATTCTTTGACTGTCATTTTGCTAAATTCGTGTGGCGAACTGTTTATGTTTCCTTTAATTTAATTCCTCCAACTAGTGTTCATAATTTGTTTACAAGTTGGTTACACGGGATAAATAAGAAACTGAAATCTAAGATTCTTGTGGGTGCAAGTGCAATTTGTTGGGCGATATGGTTAGCCCGGAATGATATAATTTTTGACAAGGCCGCAGCACCATCTTATTTGCAGGTTGTCTTCAGGGGAACCTACTGGACCAGGTCCTGGTCTCTATTACAGAAGGAGGAGGATCGCCAAATAATGAAGATGGGATGCAGGAATATTGAGACAACCACGATGGAGGTGTTTGCAAGACACGGTTGGAGATTTAGTAATAGAATTGATATTTAGATGTTGAGTTTGCAAACCTTTCTTTTATTCATTTTGGATCAAAACTTTGTGTTTGAGATTGCATGGACCGCAGTGCTTGTGTTGTAATAAGGAACAACTATATGCATTGGTCGATGCAGAAGCTGTGATATTAATATATTATCTTTTCTAAAAAAAATAAACTAATTACAATAGATAAGAATCCTAAATAAACTCGCACTCTTAAAGATAACTTCTTAAATTAGTAGAGAAGGGGGGAACCTAATATACCACTCCCTCATCATGCCTGGAATCCAATATGCAGTAGCAACTGCCCATGAAACTAGCCCTCACCATGGCACAGGTGATTTACATATGCAATCTATAAAAAATGCACTGATCGATTTGTGGTGGGGTTGGATGACATGATGAAGTTACAAGATCATTAGAATGCAAAGGAGGCCAATTCGCAAAAAAAAAAAAAAAAGCAAAGGAGGCTCACTGTACCTGTATATTGCTTCAGCAAGGAGCATGGCCTCCTCAGTTGTACTGTAGGTATCCATTATGTCATCTAATATTGTGATACAGGCTGTCATCTTCGTAGTTATAACTCGTGTAAGAGAATACTGTGGTTCAAAGCATGCTCCTGTCATCCAGAAATGACATTCTACAATTCTGTCTCGAATAAAACTTAAGTTTGTCTCAACATTAAGCTGCTTCCACCATCTGTCATGATATATATTAAGGTAAATACACATTGAATAATTGAAGTTCGTTAGGCGAACTTTGCAAACTTATTGATAAGAAATTTGCAGTTCAAAATTTGAGTTAACTTACAGTTTGACCTTTTTTAACTCCTCACAATAAATAAGCTGAAGAAGGTTGAAATTCAATTTTGCGAACTCTAATATGATGTCATTTCGTGCACCTTCCTTTTCATAGATTGAGATATAGTTTCTTGTTTCCAGTATTCTAACCCTTCGGAAGAGAGGTGTTTGAAGGGTAAGAGATACCTCATCTGCTAATGTTGATTCCAAAGAATCTAATACTGCTTCAAGTTGGCGTCTAGTGAATATAATGGCTTCATCAAGTACTTTCTCCCCATGAGTCCTAAGGTATGCTGCATTGTATAAGCTCAAGAGACATTTTGTATCATCTACCCTGAAATTTCCTTCCTTATCTTTAAAACTTGTAAAGACATCTGCAAAAACAATCGAATGAAGAAACGTTGTTTTATCTCCAGAAGTATACAGATTAATGCAAAATACCAAAGTTTCTATCAGACTGGGAATATTTTATAATGATGTACAATTTCCATTTGCTTGCACATGTCATATATATTATCAGATTTTGAGCAGTTCAAAAGTAGATGGTTGATTATACATCAGTGCATTATTGAAGCTGACCTGTTGATAACAAATCCAAGTTTATCCTTTATACTAGTTACCCCGAAAGGGTAATTGTAGTCATCAGATGAAGCATGTATATCAAAATAGCTTGATAAACAATAATGTGTTGATTACCTGATGAAACATAATAACCATGTTTCCATAGAAGATAAAATCTCAGTGAGACTAAATACAGATCTTTGTCATCGTAATCCGAATTGTAAACAAAGCTCAACAGTTCATTGATCTCATTCTCATAGTGGTTATCCAGTCCAAGCCTCTGCAGTGTGATTATAAGATCTAAAATATTTTTTATTTGATTTGCAGCTTTCAGCATTTTCCTAACTTCTTCTTTCAACACTTCAGCCCTTCCTGTCATGTATCCATGCTGCATTGGACAAGCAGATATTAGTCAATTTTGTTGATCAGAATTTCCATTCACCTTTGTTCTGAGATGCTGCATTAGTGTTACCTTAGATGCAGTTGGCGGCTTGTATTTCAGGAAAAAATCGCCCCACAGACTTGGGTGGAAGGTCGGATCCATTTGCAGCCCCTGCACATCATTGACAGAGCACACTGCAGGCGTCAGCGGCATCTTCTAGACCTCGGTCTTAGATGTCTTCCCTAGTTTGAGATCTTTGGTCTACAGCTTGATTTCTTGGTGGTCTATCTATGTTACATTGCGCCAGTACTTATAGGCACTGTGGACCAGCAGTGCTTTGGATTTTGGAATCTACAGCCCCAGCATGCATGTAGGTACAAAGCAGACCAGCCAAATAGCTGATGGATGCATCCAAGAAGATAGTGACGGCTGATGTACAGGTATACAAGTCTGGCACTTCTGTTACTAACTTTGCGTGAAAAACGTTGGGTGTTTTTTTCGATGAACGTTGGGTGTAGGATGGGAGAATTGCGCTCTGCAGTCGGATCCATTTCTTGTTCTTCAAAATATTGCCAGAAGCTCTAGGAGTTTATTAAGGAATAAAGACGGGCAACTGTGTCTATTCTGTCTTAGGCGTTCAAACCCCATTAGTCAGTGAGACAAATGCAATTACAAATCAAAATTGTCACTCCATTGAATGTTATATATCCTGAGCTTCCGGCTTGAGCTGTTCGAACCCAACCCAACACAACTATATACGGTGTCATCACCCTTTTCCCTTAGAACCTGGCTCACAAAATTAGTACTGTCACAACGCTCAGAGCTTCTTTAGGCTCAAACTAGTTGGTGCTGTTGTAGTATCTAATGAACAAATATTTGCGATGCCATGTGCCTAAACGGCTTCAATGACAGTCTAGTAATAATTTATATTAGTTTTGTGAGGAGGAGCATAGAGAAGCCACTTCTTTTCATTTAGCTCCAGTTCCTCTATACAAAAAATGGTTCCTACTCCTTCGGGCTATTTGCAAGGAGCTGTTTTTTTAGATGCTCGTTTGGCAGGGGTGCTTGCAAGAAGACACAATAAGTCAGAGTCAAATCCCTGCCAAGCAGGGTCTTGAGAAATGTTTAGAGAGGCAATTATATTAGGGTCTTGAGAAATTTAATTAATTCATGAGAATTTTGATTATTTTATCTTGGATTTTGCTATGACATACTAGGTTCTTTACTATTCGAACACCTTAAACTACTATACAAAACCCATTTTCAAAAGCTGTCCGATCATCTCTGTCAAATGGTCTTTGTTAATGGGCTGATGTTGAGATGGTGTATACTAAAGTTGTATTACCCAATGGGATCTGAAGTTGTAGACTCCATTGACGACTACAACTTTAGTATACACCATGTCACGAGGTAGTTTGATAATTCTAAATTAGTAATTTCAAAATCTAAGAAATAAAAATGAACATTTGGGACACTAAACATCTTCAAATAAAAATCATGTCCATTATAAATTTGTAGATTGCACTGAAAATTACATACTTAGTATCGACCATCTCAACATAAGGTGTTGTTTGAAAATTCTAAATTTTAAATTTCAAAATCTAAGAATGTAAAATGATTTTTAGGACTTTAAACAATTTATAAAAAAACTTTAATAAAATTCATCTTCATCGTACTTTATATAAAAGAATATGAATTATTTTGAGACAATTAGAGTGCTGCCTCGGTTAATTGATTTCTAGATGCAGCACGCTTAGGAAGCTCGCTGTTTAAAATAGCCATTCTTTAAAGCCATCACCTTAGGATGCTCCATCTGTAAGAGCATCTCTAGCAGTACTATCTAAAACTCTATTTGGGTAGCCACCCAATTTTATACTACCCAAATTTTGCTATCAACTCCAGCAGTACTATCTAAAACTGGCTATCAAAACCTATCCCAGTAGAGAATGACAGGTGGGTCCTACGTGACATCCTCTTCGGTGTTCTCCTCGCCATGGATGGGGCTGGAGGTCGCCGGAGGTGTGCCGGGAGAACTGCTCGCCGGACCTGTGCCGCCAGGGAGTCGCCCCCCTTGCTCGCCGAGAGAACTGCGCCGCCGGGGAAGGGCCGCCTGCGCCCACGCCATGCGTCCGCGCCGGTGGCGTCCGCCATGCGCCCGTGCATGAGGGCTGTGTGTCCGCACCAGTGGGAGGTGGCTTGCCGGGGAGGGGCGTCGCCAGGGAAAGCCACCGCCGTGCCGGGAAACCGCACCGGGGAGGGCTGCGCCGCACCGAAGATGGTTCGCCAAGTATCAGCGCGGAGAAACCGTGCCGGTTAGGGCTGCGCCACTGGTGGAGGCCGTGCCACCGTGGAAGGCCGCACCGTGCAAGTCGCGCCGCCCGGGCGGGCCACCGCGCCGGCTAGGGGTCGCGGCGTCGACCTGCTGCGTGGCGGAGCGGGGAAGTGCGAACAGAGAAGACAAGCGTGGGTGGGAGAGAGAAGATTTGGGTAGTCTGCATGGCCCAACAGGAATGGGGAGTGGGAGGGGGGATTTGGGTACGTAGCCAACAAATCTGTTAGATCAAGTAGGTAGTCTGTTAGAGCTGTTTTTTAGCCCTCACTACTTAAATTACCTTAATTTAGGTAATTTAGGTAGTCTACTGGAGATGCTCTAAATAGAGGTTATAGACACGGGCATTTGTTTGGGCCCTGTTTTGCCATTTACAGAGGAGGCACAGAAAAATGCACGTCTCTGTTAACCAGGGGCCTGTCTTTTTTTTGTACTAGTGTTATTAGCTGAAAGGTTATCTGACCTGTGAAGAATCCGTCGTTTCTAAGGTTTACTCGACGGTGAAGTCGAACCCGAACAGCTTGCTGATCCACTGGTGTTGGGGCACGGTGGACAGCCGCTGGTCCAGGAGGAACTTCAAGCTGTAGTGGTCGGTGCGGACGAGAAGCGGCGCCCCCATAGGTACGGGCGCCAAGTGTCGGATCGCTTGCACCAGCCAATGAGCTCACAGCATCATCGCCGCCAATTTGATATGGCGGGAGGCGAATGGTCTGCTGAAGAAGGCGGGGGCCGCCCCGGTGTGAAAACGGCGCCAAAGCCGGCGCCGAGGCGTCATAATCGACCACGAATCGGGCGTTCAAAGTCGAATCTGCAGAATCGGCGTCGAAGATAGCTCCCGCCAGAGGCAAAGGCCTCGTCGCCTCTGCTTGTCTGACGAACGCCTCCTTCCGTAGGAGACGCGTGAGGGGCGCCGCAATGGAGCCGAAGTCACGGATGAACTTCCGGTAGTCGCCGACGAGCCCCAGGAAGCCGCACACACCGCGTGGAGAGCGTGGCGTCGGCCAAGAGGCGACCGCGGTCACCTTGTCGCTGTCCATAGCGACGCCGTCGGCGGAGATGACGTGGCCGAGGTATGCGATGGAAAAGGCCCCGAAGGAGCACTTCGACCTCTTGAGGAAGAGACCGTGTGCTCGTAGGGCGGTGAAGACGAGGCCCATATGCTGGAGATGCTCGGACCACGACGAGCTGTAAATGAGAATGTCATCGAAGAAAACCAGCACAAACATGCGGAGAAAGGGGCGGAGCACATCGTTCATCAATGCCTGGAATGTCGCCGGGGCGTTGGAGAGCCCAAACGGCATCACCAGGAACTCGAAGTGGCCGTGGTGGGTGCGGAAAGCGGTCTTCTCGATGTCCGCTGGGTGCATCCGCACCTGGTGGTACCCGGAGCGGAGGTCGAGCTTGGTGAAGTACTTCGCCCCATGGAGCTCATCAACCACCGGGATCAGAAACTTGTCCTTGGACGTGCGGTCGTTGAGCGCGCGGTAGTCGATGCAGAAACGCCATGACCCGTCTGCCTTCTTGACGAGCAGCACCGGCTTGGAGAACGAAGAAGTACTTGGGCGAATGATGCCCTGCTCCAGCATGGCGGCGCATTGCCGCTCGAGCTCGTCCTTCTGTAGCTGTGGGTACCGGTACGGTCGCACGACAACTGGTGCGGTCCCCGGTAGGAGGTGGATGCGGTGGTCATAGGGACGAGCTGGAGGGAGGCCCCGTGGTGTGTCGAAGACGACGTTGTCTTTGAGTAAAGCTCGCCCAACAACCCGGTATCGTCATGGGTCCGTGGCGACCATGCCAACGAAGCGCTTTGGGAAGGCGCGCTCGGGGCGCCCACACACTGCCACGTGACGCGGCGGCCATCCCGCTGGAAGGACACGGTGAGCCCCTCGAAGTCCCAGGTGAGGGGGCCCAACGCGCCAAGGAAGTCGATGCCCAAGATGAAGTCAAAACAGCCTAGCGCGAGTCTGACATAGGTGATGGAGAAGGGCGCCCCGCTGATGACGACGGGAACGTCACGGGCGATCCCCTCGCATGGCACGCGCTCGCCGCTGGCGACCGTGACTCGGAGCTGGTCGCCCCCCTGTGGAGCAAGCCCTAGGTGGCGCATGGCCGTACCCTGGAGGAAGGTGTGGGTGGAGCCGGTGTCCAACAAGGCGAGGAGGCGCTCGCCCTTGATCGTCACCGGAAGGAGCATCGTGTGGTAGGTCCGGATCCCTGCAAGAGCGTGCATAGAGACCACAAGAGCGTGAGCGTGGGTGGCACCGTCGATGGCCTGCTCCTCGGGCAAAACCTCGGTCGCGGCGTCCCCCGCTGGCGCCCCGTCATCGTCGACGAAGTCGTCTGCCTCCAGGTAGAACAGGCGGGGGCACACATGCCCACGCACATACTGCTCGTCACAGTTGTAACAGAGGCCTTGGCGATGGTGCTCTTGCATCTCGGCGAAGAAAAGCGGCGAACAACCCTCATCGGTGCCACGGCGCGCCGGGCGCGCGCCGCGCACCGCTGGTGCCACAACCGCCGCGCCCGCGGCGCGCTTAAACTTTGAGCTCTCCAGCGGGCCACGGCCGCCCCCTGAGGACGTGGAGGAAGGCCCGGCCGTGGCGGTGGACGAGCGCCGCGCTGCTGGAGTAGGGCGGCCGTGGCCATGGCGCGGCTCTCAAAGGCGCGGGCCAGGAACATCGCCGTCTGGAGGTCGGGCGGAGCGCGCATCGCGACGTCAACCCGAATATGTTCCGGGAGACCGCCGACGAAGAGCTCCGCCTTCTGGCGCGTAGAGAGGTCCCTAGAGTGCCCGAGTATCGTCTGGAAACGGTCCGCAAACTCCTGGACCGTGGAGTGAAACGGCAGGCGACCTAACTCGGCCAACCGCGAGCCATAGATGGAT